TGTTGCGTAGAAGTTCTGTGCCTTTGACTCTAGCTGCTTGGCTGCTGCAAGGTTGCTCTAGTGCTTGGCTCGGCAGTCTGCAAATGGCTATTTGGCCAGTCCCTTGCAGGTAAACTACATCGTGATGCAGTTACTGGCAAATAGGGAGAATTGGTTAGGCAGCGTAACTCCTGTTGAATCACAAAAAAAGGCTTGTATGCTGTAGTTTACCCGCGTTAAAGCCGTGTGTCCAAAATTACATATTTTACTGTCAGATAAAATTACATACTTTACTGGCTGGAGCACCTCTCCTATGAGGACAGGCTGAGAGAGTTGGGCTTGTTCAGCCTGGAGAAGAGAAGGCTGCGGGGAGACCTGATTGCAGCCTTTCAGTACCTAAAGGGGGCCTATAGGAAAGATGGGGAATTACAATGAGGGTGGTGAACCCTGGCAGGGGTTGCCCAGGGAGGTGGTGGAGGCCCCATCCCTGGAAGCATTCAAGACCAGGTTGGACAGGGCTGTCAGCAACCTGATCTGGTTAAAGGTGTCCCTGCTCCCTGCAGAGGGGTTGGACTAGATGACCTCTAGGGGTCCCTTCCAACCCAAAACGTTCTATGGTTCTATGATACTAAGAAGTAGGAGCTTCAGAGTGACTTTCAGGTGATGCTGGGCTCAGTTCTTATTTCATTTATTTGGAAGCGATGCAGGATACGCCTCTTCTTCCTCCCTTCATTTCCGATCCCATTCTAAGGTGATTTATTTAGAGGGTGCTGGAACCACAACGAGTGTCCTCCTGTTTGATGGAAAACAGAGGTTTTCTTCTAAAAACAGTTCCATCTCCATCAGATCCTCGCAGAATCATACGGGTTTAGACATTTGATGCTTTTTCCCCCATGTGCTGCTCTAAGCTACTTTTTTAAACATGACTGTAAGAGAACGACAATGCTTATCTTCCCAAACAGGATTTCAGCATTGACCTGAAGAGCAGAGATGCAAAGCTATTAAAGGCGAAGCGCTCTAAAGCTGAGGCAGAGAAAGCAGACCGATCCTCCAACCTGAGCTCCTTCTATGACAGTGCGATCAACCCATTTAAAATAAGCCCTCAAACCAGCTTAAAGGACTCCAGCAGCAGCTTGGACTATGCCAAGAATGCAGGCATAGTTATCCCTCCCATCAACCAGAACCTTTCTCCCACTACAGTTGGGATGGGGCCTGTGCCTGGGAACCTTAATTACAGGTACGGAAGCAGAGCTAGAAGAGCTTGTATCCATCGTCCCTGTTGCCGAGAAACTGTAAGGTCCTGGGAGAGGTGCAGGGTGATGACGTGGGAATGCGAGATGTGGGTTTGGGACAGGACATGGCTAGGAACAGCGCTTGGGTGAAGGACTGTACAAGGATAATAAAACCCGGCTTTGCCTCGAGCAGCTGTGCGTGTCCATGCAGGCACAGGGTCTCTGTGTTTCTGCATTACCAAATCATTAGTGGACAGCAAGAGTTTGCCATCTGCTATGACACTGGCTTTTCTTTGACTCATGGCCTGGTCTTTGGACCAAACTTCTCTGTTAACTGCGCTTGTGAAGGATATTCTCCCCGAGAGCCTTCTTTCTAAGCATTTCAAGACAGTTTTTCTGGGTGTCTTGCATTTGTTGGGTTTATATTCACTGTGTTACCCCAGTTAATACAAAGTTTGGGGCATTTTTGATTACAGAGTTGATGAAAAAAGCAAAAAATACCTGAACCCATTTCTAAAGCAACGGAAGCATTCTCCAGCGGGCCATTACAGTGTAAGCTTGACGTCGGTAAGTCATCTGTCTTTTCTCCTTGGCAAAGCAAAAATAAATTCGGAACTCAAGTATGTGTTTTATTGTCAAGAATCCCATCTGTTGCAGCCTTCACCGTAACTCCCAACTAGAAATATTATTTTCTTTACCGCTTTTTTCCTACAGGTGTGTCATCTGTTATCCTGTGCTAATAGTTATGTTATATGAAACATACTTGGTGTCAGAGGATGATTTTAAATGAGCGGAGCAGTCCAACACAGGATATCTGTGAGATGTGGAATATATATCCATGGTCTCCTGCCTGGCCAGGAGAAGTAGACCGTATGTGCTGCGCTACTAAAGCAGAATTCAGGGTTTGGATTTAACATGGTCAGAGCCTTATTTAGTCATGTCATAAATACATGAAAAATTGGTGATGAAAACAAGTGAAATGGAAAGCTTTCCACTGCACTCACTACCTAGGCAATATTCTTTTCACGCCACCAGGAACGTTTGCCTTTTTACAGATAACTAATCTGAGCTTTTCTCCAAGTGTTGCATTTTGTGTCTCTGAAAGCAGTCCTGCTTAGGTGATTGGGTTTTTTTGCTGTGGCTGTTCCGTTGTTTTTAACGTATAAGTGACACTTGAGCAGAATGGATTCCTTCATCCACATTAAGAGTCTTTTCTTTTACTCTTGCACAAATACAGCTACGGTGGAACATTGCTGTGTTGATGCATTTTTAAGCTTGAAAATAGCTTGATTTTTGTCTATATTTTCATGAGCTGGCACTTATGCCCTTGATTACAGGTTACTAATGAAAAAAACATCCTTCAGGCAAATAGGAAAAAATGGGAATTCTCCAAGACGGATGTGCATTTGCCAGAACTAAATCATCTCCCTGAACTGAGAGGAGTGGAAGGTAGGAGCTTTTAATGTCCTCTAAATAAAACCTGGATCCAAAATAAATGTCAGGAAGCAGCGTGCGTTAGAGCAGTCAGCTCTTGCTTCCTTAACACGGTATGTATTGGTTGCATTTTTCAGCGTGGCATCCCAGATTTCTGAAAAAGGAAAATAAAACAGTTTCAGAGTCCCGTGTCCCGTCCCTTGCTGCTATTGACCTCCATAACCCAAGTCTGGCCTCACAGCAGGTAACAAAGCAATAAAATAGCTTATGCTGCTCTGTATTTTTTTGGTTCGGGACTTTGTGAACAGCATGACCCACAGATTTCCAGTGTGACTCTTAACGAAAGCAGAGCTTGCCTTGGCTTCTTAACTGTCCTACGTAAAAGGCCCTGAGGCCTTATGGTGGGGGAAAAGAGAAGGGTCACGGGTGAAAGATGGGGCGCGCTCTGTCTCTCTGCGATTAGCTAAATACTAGATTCTCGCTGCTAAGAAAGACAACGTGAATTGTTGCAATTTCATCTGGCTGGCTCAAGGTGGAAGTAAGCCTGATTTAGCAGAGGTGAAGAGAGACCGGGGGGAACACGTGCTTTGAGGAGAACTGTTCTGGCTGTGTCAGATGTTGAGGGGCTGAGTGCAGGAGGGAGGGAGAAAGCCTGGGAGCCACTCATAGGGACAGAAGGGGAAAACTTGCAACTCTCTTAAAGATTAGTTCCCCAGTAACATGGAGATGTTATTTGGGAGTTAAATAATTCCATAGGGTCTGGAATTTTCAGATGCGTGTGTCTCTAGAACACGGTTTCTGATTGTTCTCTCTATTTATACAACACTTGGAAATTGACCCTCTCCTTTTTTCTTTTTTTTTCTTTCCTAATTTACAGCTGTCAGGGACCTTGATGCCCGATGCCTCAGAAGCCAGTTTTCCTAGAGTTGAGCACTAGCCTTATGGAGAAGGAGATCACGGCTGCCTGTAAAAGGTAGGCTTTAGTTTCTGCAGTGTAGCTTTCTGGTATCTTTCAAACGTTTCATAAACACTTACCTAGTTGGGAGGTGCAAGGGGAAAATCCCTTTTACGCTTCACATTCTCAATCAGGACTCCTAGCTAGGACAGACTTCTTATGGAGGGCAGCCCGCAGCTTTCTGTACAGATACTGAAGTTGGCTGTGGCAGGTAAATTGTTCTCCTGAGCTGAGCTGCTGGGCATTGGGGTTGGAAATTAAGCAGCTCATGAAGTTGGGAGTTGAGGAAGCTGATAGAATAACAAGAAGTGGCTGCCTTCATGTGAGGAGTGGTAAAAATGGGTTGTATGTACGGCACTGTCAAGCACATGACAGAAAGTGGACTTTCAAGAAGGGGGAAAAACATTTTGGGGGGCTTGTCAAGCATAACATTAGGGAAAGTTTTTAGTAACTATGTCATACAATCTAAATTAATTTAATATAGTTGTTGGTACCTCAGTCCTCTCCAAGCATGAGATAGGAGTTTGGGAGAGAAGGAGGCTTAGGAAAAGGCCTGGCTGCGTGGTTAACTCGTAGTCTTAAGACTGAAATACTGAATTTGAGCTCTGCCACGCTATTTGTACTTTTGCTTAGCATTGCATCTTATCCTTCTAGATAGTTTTAAGGTGAGGCTTTTAAGTGTGGTTTTAATAGTTTCTCATCTTGCCCATTGAAAGACATGCAGTTCTCTAAGTCATTTTGACTAAAAAAAAGCATCAGAGAAAAAAATGTGCGGTTTTGTTTATTGTTTTGCTTTTTTCTATTGGGGTATTGTTACCTCTTGTTGCTGAGCATCTTCCACAGAGTCTGCTGTATGTGTTGGAGTTCATTTCATCTGCTTGAAAGCGAAAACTGCAGTGCTTAGCTGAGGCTTTTTACTATCGTGATCACCTCTCTTTCCTCACTGAGGCTGGGCAGAATGACTCCACCTTCCAGAGGGAGCAGAAGTTGAGGAGAACAAAGAGGGAAGGAGACAAAGTGTTCTGGAAGGGTCTTCAGAGGCTGTGCTCCAAAATCTCACCAGCTCTATTGGAACCTTGTGTCCTGCATAGATGGGTTTTACTCAATGCTGCCAGCCCATTCTTGCTGGGTTTTTCTTAGATAGCCACGAGCCAGTTGTGGCAATACTGTTAACATGCAGGTGCAAACTGCGCAGCTTTGTTTTTTCTTTTGGGCTCTGGGGTTTCCTTTTTGAGGAGAGGGAGCAACTGCTGACTCTGAAATCTCTGCGCAAATGCTGCACATGCTCGTAATCTAGACGAGCGTATTTGGCACTTGTATTCACGTCGTATGATGGCTTAATGCTACTAGGAAGAAAGAAGAAAAAAACATTGGGATGGGAAGCAATCCTGATAATAGAAATGGGGGGAAAAAGAAACCTTACTAAAGTTGTCTCATCTGTGAAGCACAGCTTTAGCAAGGTGAGGATGTGTAATAAATCAGAAATAAAGCAAGCATATCATCAGGGAGTAGTACCTCTGTGGGTTTGTTAGCCTGTCCGTAACATCATTCTGCTTTTCTCCTCTTGATGCAGGTGGCTGAAATGGTGGGAACAATTCACCCGAGTTTCCAGGCGCTAAAGCTGCGAGGTCTCTGCAGGAGAGCGGAAGATCCTTTACTCTCTCGTTAGCGCAGCGGACTGCCGTGGGAAGTGGCTCAGGTCTGGTCCGAGGACAGAGCTCGCACTGCCATTGCTGCTGCATTTCTTGCATGCAAAACCACTCCTGAAAAGTTGCCTTTCTGGCCCGGGGCCAGGTCTCGTCTGAGGTCGCTCAGAAAAAATTAGTGGTTATTGGTGTGTGACAAGGGCAGAAGCTAGTTTGGAGGATTTTGAAGGAAGCTGGACTTTCTTTTGTCTAACTGCCGCCCTCTTGAGGGTTTCCTTTTTAAATGAACAGTGAAGAGAGCAGACAGCTGCTGAATTCGCCGTGTTTTGGCGGGCTACCTGACCTGTATTGGAAAGCACCTTTGCCTTGGCAAAAATGCGAGCCAAGAAAATGTTTGTGCAAGCAGTACAACGCTTAAGTGTGTAAATGTTCCAGCTGAAACCCTTGCTAATGCTCAGCAGCATGTGTGACCTTGTGTTAGGTTCCTTTTCCCTCCGTGCTTTCATCCCTGTCTTCGGGCGGTTGTTTTTCAGGTGTTTAGCTGGGCCCTGTTGTCTGGCCGTGCCGGGTGACTGGCTGCTGTTAACGGTGAAGGTAGAATTACCAGTGTAAAATACTGAGCTGTGATGCAGGTGGCGTGCGAAATGGCTTCTGTGAGCGCTTAGTAACTCGCTTTGCGCCGTCAGTCCTCTAGATCCTGTGGGGGAATGGGACATGTAAGTGTAAAACTCGTCAGCAGCTCGTGAGGAGAGAAAGATGGCTTTAGCTTGGGACTGTTACGAGACCATTTTTGCTTAACTGCCCTCAAGTTGGTTGTAGTCGGTTCTGCGATGCCCCTACATCACTCACAACTCTTGTTTTCCAGCAGCTCCAGGCTGCTATCGCAGCTCACACCTCCGTACGGTGTAGTTAATTTTGGAACTTGCCTTGCCCATCCGTGAGGCCTTGCCCATCCGTGAGGCCTTGCCCATCCGTGAGGCCTTGCCCATCCGTGAGGCCTTGCCCATCCGTGAGGCCTTGCCCATCCATATTATCATGGCAGAATGCAGCATGAATGTCATGGTATTTTAGAGCTTTGTGGCTATGCTGTGTTTTGACAGGTGCATTAAAATTTGTAAATAAAAGGATATCCAAATTTCTTGGTTACTAGCATGTGATTGCAAAAGTAAGATGGGCTCGCTTGGTCTTCCCTAGACTTGGCGTTACATCTGCTCATTTATATTGGTGGCGTTACCTGCATTTAAAAATCGGACTTTTTCTGAATTGTTTTTAATTTACCAGTTGACATCGTGTTCCTCGCACCCATTTTACACGCACGGGTTCCCACTGTCCCTCAGCAGCATGCGGACAGCAGCAGGCAGCTGACCGTGCTCATCCAGCGCGCCCTTGACCTTTCCAGCTGGGCTGACCTGCTGGCGATGGCACTCCTAGGTTCCCATCACCCTGCTTTTTCTTCGCCGCTAGCCAGGAACCGCTCCAGGGTAGCCCAGTTGTACCCATACCGAATGTTCCCCACGTGAGCAAATACAACTGAGCTACTCGACTAAAAATCGACCGAGTGAGGCTTCACCAAGGCGCTGGCGGACGGAGCAACGAGCCTCGACACCCGTGGGCGGTGGGTCCTTGGCTCGGAAACGGCACGCGCCTGGAAAACGTTCAGGGGAACCCTCCCTGCTCTCCCCGGAGCTGCATCAGGTGCCCAACGTTTTGGGGTTATCTAGGGAGAGGGGAGGAAAAAAAAAGGGGGGGGGCATAGGGGAGAGGAAGAAAGGAAG